CCATGCTGCCAGCCACACTGCCTCTTGCCCGGGGATGCTGTTTGTGGGTGGAAGACTTCTCCACCACAGCTGCCCTGCCCCTGTGTCTTGCCTGCAGTGTGCTGAACCCTTTCTCAGCCTTTGCAAGGAAGACCACGCTTCTGGCCCAGCACATCACCTCTGCCCACAGCATATGTTTTGGCTGGGAAGGGAGGGATCTGGCATCATGATGTGTGGCTGGGGATGAACATCAAGTGTCCACAGGCTTGGGCACTGCCATGGGCCAGCTCGCTTGCTGTCCCAAACACCAGCAGGTGCAGTCTTTCCTTTTGGGGCTGGGAGGTTTGGCTCCATCTAAGACTCTCAGCTCCGGGCTGTGGTACCTGGGCCCAGATGATTTCTGCTAGCTCCTTGCGGTTCTGGACCACAGCCCAGATGAGCAGGTCGCGGACTGGGTCCATGGTGAAGGTGACTCGGCTGGCTGAGCGCTTGTAGAGGGACCGGAGACTTGACCCCTGAACCTGCAAGGCATATGCTATGGTCAGACCTGTTCTCTTTCCAAGAGGCTGCAGAGAGCAGATAGCCCCTTGGCACAAAGCCACCCCCGAGCCCTGGGTGCCTGCCTCCGCCACCCACAGAAGTGCCTTCGCTGCAGATAGCAGGGTGACCAAGACTGGACTCATCCTGGAAATGCTACTTTTTCTAGAGCCAGGACATCATGTGAGGATGTGCTTCACCTGCCCAGTGCACCCACCCCACTGGGTCCTGCCCACCAGAGTCATGCAGGGAGTTTAAGTGGGATTCCTGAACAGGCAAGAGGACAGAGACCCCATTGCAACCTCCAGGACGTTTTCTTGAGCCAGCATCCCCCTCCCTAATGCAACCCTGCCACCACATAACCTGGAGATGCATACGTTCAACTTGATGTGTGGGACAGGGATGGAGAGCCGGGGACGCTCCATGTGCTTGGGCTTGGGGTAGAGAGGCTGTGTGGAGCAGCCCAGCAGCTCCCGCAGCACCTGGGAGACGTGGTGCAGTTGGATTCTTGGCATCTTGGAGCCAGCTGTGTGCTCACTCTCCTCCAGCAGGACCTTCTGCAGCTTGTTGTGGAACAGGCAGGATGGTGCCATGTTGTCGTAGAGGTAAACCAGGGTGTCCCAGGTGACAAACTCCTTGAGACGCACTCCCTGCTCCAGGAACAGCTTCACAAACTCTGGCTTGTTGGAGATCAGGGCAGCGGCCATCACAGGGTGGAGATCTGTGGGCTGGCAGGCCACAGGCAGAGTTAAGTGGCTCCATGATCCCAGAGCAGGGCCCCACCATGTTCCTCACTCAGGTGGGAGGAAGATTTTATCCCTGAGCACACAAGGAGTTTATGAGTGTGAGAGATCATCTGGGAGGTGCTGGGACTTGTGGGACATCCCACAGAGACACACTTCTGGGTTAATATTCCCTCTCCTCAGGCAGTGAAGCCCTCTGCTCCCTTGGCTTCTGGGTGGAGGGATCATAGAATGGTTTGGGTTGGAGGTTGGAAGAGAGCTCATCCAGTTCCAACCCCCCTGCCATCAGCAGGGACACCTTCCACTAGACCAGGTTGATCAAAGCCTCATCCAACCTGGCCCTGAACACTTCCAGGGAGGAGCAGCCACAGCTTCTCTGGGAAACCTGGGCCAGTGTCTCACCACCCTCACAGCAAACAATTTCTTCCTCACATCTCATCTCCATCTCCCCTCTGCCAGTTTCAAGCCATCACCCCTTGTTCTGTCACTCCCTGCCCTTGTCACAAGTCCCTCCCCAGCCTTCCTGGAGCCCCTTCAGGTACTGGAAGGCCACTGGAAGGTCTCCCCAGAGCCTTCTCTTCTCCAGGCTGAGTAGTCCCAACTCTCTCAGCCTGTCCTCACAGCAGAGGTGCTCCAGCCCTCCCATCATCCTCGTGGCCTCCTCTGGACTGGCTCCAGTAGGTCCATGTCCTTCTGATGTTGGTGGCCCCAGAACTGGAGGCAGCACTGCAGATGGGGTCTCACCTGCGGTGAGAGCAGAGTAGAGGGGCAGAATCCCCTCCCTTGACCTGCTGCCCACATTAGGGATGGAGTAGGGTAGCATGTAGACCCTCCTTCCCCAGCTCACAGGGATGCACCACACAAATGAACATGACCTCACAGGCTTGTCCCCTATGCACAACTCTTCAGCTGAAGGATCATCGTGCTCCTAGCTGGACCTCAGCCATGGGGAGACTGGCTGCTCCCAATGGTCATCTAGTAGTGTGGTGGCCTTTTCCTTTCCAAGCCAATCTTTACATGTGCTCAGAAGTGAAAGCAAGGCCCGTGGGAAAAGGGGTTACATGTCTGTCCTTGCAGGAAGGTACCTGCTTGACCTGTCACAGCTTGGTTTCAGCCTCAACTTTTCACAGCAGCCACACTGTTCCAGGGCTGCAAGCACCTGTAACAGCCCTGCCTGCATCAGCTCATCAGAGAGCCTGCTTCGTCCTCCCTAGAATCACAGAATCATAGTGGTTGGAAAAGACCTTTAAGATCACCAGGTCCAAACATTAACCAAACACTACCAACTCCACCTCTAAACCATGTCACTCAGCACCTTGTCTACCAGTCTTTGAAATCCCACCAGGGAAGGTGACTCCACCACCTCCCTGGGCAGCCTGTTCCAATGCTTGACTACCCTTTGGGTGAAGAAGTTTTTCCTCAGATCCAATCTAAACCTCCCCTGGTGCAACTGGTGGCCATTTCCTCTCATTCTATCGCTTGTTACCTGGGAGAAGAGACTGACCCTCGCCTCTCTCCACCCTCCTTTCAGGTAGTTGGAGAGAGTGAGAGGGTCTCCCCTCAGCCTCCTTTTCTCCCTTCCCCACAAAGGTGTGGATCTTGTTCAGGCTGAGCATTTTCACACCATCAAATATTTTCTCTTCAGCATCCTGATTCCCACCAGCTCTTACCAGCTCCACAAAAGGTGTGGGAGCTGGGAGAACCCAAACTGTCAAACAAAATAGGAAAATCCCTTCCAAGTCCCATGGACCCAGCAGAAAGGAAAGAAAACCCTGCTCAGCTTGGACTTCTCAACAGCTGGATCAGGCATGGGACAGCAGGGCTGGCTTGAGCTGCTCCTTGCCCCACTTGGTAGTAAAGTCTTAGCAGGCAAGCGCCAGGCTGGGTGAGATGAGTTTAGAGACAAGTTGCCATTTCACAAAATGGCATGAGTGGCAACCACAGGGCAGAGGTGGCAAGAGGTCTTTTTGACTCTAGGTTGGTGGGTTGTCTTTAAAAGACACCGGCTTTGAACAAAATACCAATCAATCACCTTTGTAAACAATTGTAAGCCAAATAGGACCTTTACAAGCAATGAATTGCAGTGTGTGCTCACTTCTGCTCTGGGTGTTTGAGTCCACTTTTGAAAGACAGGACAGCCTCTGGCAATGTGGTGGGAGTTTAGGGTCCAAGGGAAATGCCCTGAAGAACTCTCCTTAGGCACAGCAGACGTGAACTGTGCCCTCCATATCCACAGTCCTCAAGTGGGACCTGACCAGACAAGCAGCACTGGTACTGCCTTACCTTCCACTCGTGGTCGTCTGTGAAGACCTCACTCCGAGCAATGTCCACCCTGTTCCAGGCCACAGCTAACTTCAGCTGGTGGTCCCAGTTCTCACGACCAAAGTGGTCCTGGTTTCGGGATGCTGCATGCAAAGTGCATGTATTAGAAGAGAGGATCATTTACACCGTGAGAAGATACCACCTGGAAGCCCCCAGGCCCTTTGGGAGAAACATCTCTCCCCAGTCAGCTTAACATCACAAGGTTTGGAGACATCTTTGGTAACTTTGGTGCAGGAGATGACTTGTGACCCCCATCCCATTTTTCTCTCCCCATCACCCCAAGCAGCTCCCCACCCCTCACCTTTGAACAGGGCCTGGAGGATGGCCACATCCACGTCCTGCTGGCCATATTTGCCCTCTCTGAAAATGGTCAGGAGCTGCCGGCACCGCACTATGTCTTGAATCTAGAAGGAGAGCCATGGGCAAGCAGTCAGCAGCAGCATCTCCTCCCTGATGCTTCCTGCAGGCCCCCATCCTGCGTGGGCCAATTCCTTGCTTCCCTTGTGTTGCATGCAGAGCCCCTGTGCTGTGTGTCCCAGCCTTGGTTGGGGTTGGTCCTGAATGGTTCCTCTCTGCCCAAAGGGAGCAGGCAGTGGAGGAGCAGAGCTTGAGCCCTTGGGGTGCTCACTGGGACAATGCTGAGCATGGCTGGGGAGATATGGATAGTCAGTAGAAGATAAGTCTTAAACTTCATGCTGGGAGCCTTGTTGCTCATGGGCAATGACCCCTGGGGACCCCTTTGAACTTCACAAGCCCAGCAAGAGGACCTGTCTACTTGCAAGGGGCTCACCTTCTTGGTCCACTCCACCAGCTTGCCTTCAGTGAAAAGATCATAGGTGTCATGGAAGAACATGCTCAGCTTCTTCTGGATCAAGGCAATGGTTATCCTGGGCACAGGCAGGCTGGCCACCTGTGCGATGACATCGGCTACACGCCCAGACCCTTCCACGATCACACAGGGGATCCCGTTGGTGATGGCATTGTAGATGGTCTGCAACAGAGCAGGGAGACCGGTCCTAATCCCACCCACAGGCCAGCAGACCCTCTCTGAGTTGGAGACCCACACTACTGCTCCTCAGCACTCCCGTCCGGCTGCATTTCAGCCGGTGTGGCACCACGCTCGCACCAACACTGGAGAGCAGCACCCCAGGCAAGGAGCCCCACCACCCCCTCCAGCTCTGCTGGGAGCGGGCAGGAGCAGGTCCTTACGTCGAGTGTCCCGGGGCCTCCTTCCAGCACCACGCACACGATGGGGATCTTGATGGCGACACCTGCAGGGAAGCAGAGCCCATGGTCACCTCCCTGCAGGACAGCCCCTGCCTCCCATGCAGCTGAACGTGATCCCCTCTGAGCAGTGGGGTGTGAACGGCAAGGTGGGAGCACTGCTGCCTCACATTAGGATCCAGAAGACAAGGTGGATGATCTCCTGGCAGCCATGCTGCTGGAGCATGTCTGTGCACGTCTTAGAATAGAAGATCATTTGCACTGACAGAAGATACCACCTGGAAACCTCCTTGGAGGCTTGGCCTTCGGGAGAAACATCTCTCCCTGATCAGCTCAGCATCACAAGGTTTGGGGACACCTTTGTTGACCCTGTAAGTCAAGCAGCTGGCAGAGAAAGTCTCCTTGATTTGTGTCATCAAGGAACCAGGCTCCACATTTATCACAACAATCCTCTCAAATCCCTTGCCTGGAACCTCCAAGGAAGCCACAGTGTCCCCTCTCACTGGAGGCCAGGATGGACACTCCTCACTGATGGATGTCCCACCCCACCTTGTGCCCTCCCCTGCTTCAGGCCTGGCTATGTGTTGCTGTTACCTCCTTTCACCTTGGTCTGCTCCGAAATGAACTTTTCCAGTCTGGTCCTCAGGGGGATTTCCACCCCGTACTTCCCATGGGTCCCATCATCCACCAGGATGAAGTGGGAGTGGTTGCTGTCCAGGCATGACAGGCTGCCTTGGTTCTCCTCATCCAGTATGTACTCAGCTGGAAAGCCACCCTGTACGGTGCAGGAGAGATGCTGGAAAAAGCCTGGTAGGTCTGCAGAGGAGCACCAGATGCCCAAAGCATCCAGCCTGTGGGACAGGAACAGGCTGGCATGTGGGGACACTGGCCAAACAGCCGTCCCTGCCCTCCCTGCAGTCCTCACATCAGCCTTGCCCCATGCTCTTCTGTCTCCGCTCCACCTGCCCTCACACCCACAAAGGTCCTCCCAGGAGAAGCACAGCACCTACGCAAGACACTGGGTAGGGCAGAGGAGCTTCTCAGCAAACATCAGCCCAGGACCATCACTTCTAGTACGGCTGGGTTTTACCAGGGCTGCCAGCCACAGGTATGTCTTGAAGCACCCATTCCCACCACCATCCTTGGCAGGACTTCCCCATAAGTCCAGGCATAGGCAAAGAAAAAGCATCTCCAACTCTGCCTGGCTCACCATGGGGCAGACGAGGCTCTCCCGGTTGTACACAGTCCCCCAGGTGGCTATGCCAACAGTGACAATATCGCCCTCCTTGTGGCTGCAGCTCAGGATGAAGTCTCGCACTGCCTCTCCCACCTGTTTCATCACACCAGTGTGGGACCCCCCTGTGATGATCCAGGCCCCTGGGGGTAAGAAAGGGGCTTGGAAAGGGAGAGGCTCTACCCACAGCAATCTCCAAGCATCCCCCTATCTATATGGCTGCAAGAACACATGGTCCTTGGAGATACTCCATCCCCCACAAGATGCTTTCCCTGCCCACCACATCAAGCCCTGGCAGCACAGGAGATGCCTTCTTCAGCACAGTGTTGCATCTCTCATCCCAGCTCCCTGTGAGCATGTTTGCAATGACAAAGCAGGAACAGTCCATCTCTGGTGGCACTAGTCCAGACAGGGACCTACAGGCCTCCTGGGCCAGCTTCGCATCTCCACAGCAACCCAACTCACTGAACCTGGCATGGCCAGATGACCGGTCCCCTGCAATCACAGGGAGAGTCTCTGCATCTCTTACCAGTGGTCTGGGCTACTTTGACTAGTCCTTGCCGGAAGATGTTCTTCAGCCTTGGCTTCATGATGAAGTTTTTGGCTCCCCCGGTGACTGAGATGAGCAGGTTGGGTGCATCAAGGCCCCAGTGCTGTGTCATGAGGTGGTAGATGACCCGTGGAGGGGTATCCGAGGAGACACGCACATACTGCAAAAAAGGGAGCATGCATGTGTTTTGGGTAAAAACAACCGGGCCAGGGTAACAGGGCACCTCCACCAGAGTTTCTCCTGTTCCAGGAAAGAACCAACGGCTTCCCACACTGTTTCGCAGCAGAGTCCTGTTGCTGCTGCCCCAGGTCTTTGTGCATAACCCTGTTCCCATTTGCTTCCCAGGTTCCAAGAGCATTCCCAAGATGAACCTAAGGATGAGGATGGTGAACAGCCCCTCCTTGAAGTGTGGGCCTCACCACATGAAGATCAGTCTTGAGGTTTCAGAAAGGGGCTAGATACAGGGCTAGGAGAGAGGAGGGGTCAGTGTTGCCTTTGGGGCATTTCCACGATTTCCTAAACCTCCTCTCATTCAGGAGGGAAATATTCACATTTCATCTGCCATGGCAAGACCTCAACTCCGGCTCCCCGTGAACCACAGCTCACCTTCCCCATCTTCTGTCCCAGGCCTGTGAAGTGAATATCACCAAAGGCATCTGTTGGCATTTCCTGGATGTGCCTACTGGGGTCCCATTCCTTCCCCAGGAAGATGGGAGGTTTGGTAGCATCTTCCAGGTGCTGTTCCCTGAGATAGCCACACTCGCAGACAATCCTCCTGAAACACACACTACCAACTTTGCCAAAAACAATCTAAACCCAAAAGGTAAGGTCCAGCTGGCCCATCTGCCTTGGCCAAGCCAAGAAATATTTGCTTTCTCATTAAGAACATCACAGGCACTGGCATCTCCCACCCAGCTCATCCTCCAGCTCAGAACTTGTGCAGAGACAGAGGCATTGTTTGGAGGAAAATTTAGCAAAAAAAAAAGGTATTTCTGTCTGTAGAGGTTTAGGACTGAAATATTAAGGTTTCTCTGGACAAAGTACGGGTGGAAATGACTGCATGAGAAAGGTTCCTCACTGGGACACAGGATATCAGCCACGTGGTGACACACAGCGGGGTGAAGAATCAGTCAAAAAGGAATTTGTGAATCCCCTTGACACCAGCTCCCTGGACAGAAAGGTGGGATTGTCTGGTGCTGCAGCTGGGTCACCAAAGACCCCTCCTGCTTTCCTGGCAGGGGAGGGGAAGGAGGAACTGTCTGACTTACCCAGAATCTGATGTCTGGGAGCTTTCGACAAAGTAGGTGCATTCCTTCTTCCGGATGTTTTCAGGAATCCACGAGATGAGGTTTTCCTGAGGGAGCAGGAAAAGCAGCAAGGGGTCAGGGTTTCTGCAAAGGGACGGAAGTTGTGCCAGGGGCCAGACACCCTGGTGCTTGGAGCATATCTGAGTGCTTCTTCTGATGTGAAGGAAGAAAGCTCCATTGCTACCTGCAAGGACAAAGCCATCTGTACCCCAAGGAGAGGAGATATGAATGCTGGACATGTATCTCATGTTTGGGGTTTTTCTGTCTGATCTGTTATTAATGCTCCCATTAATGAGTCACCAGACAACTCATGCTCTTCTGTTGAGTGTGGCCAACCACCCCCTCTTCCAGCACCTCCTGAACTTGCCTTTTCATTGCTGCCGGTGGGGAAATGTGCCTTCCGCCTGCTCCTTGAGACACTGCTGCTGCTCCGATGGAGGTTGGGGACCACCTCGAAGTCACTCATCTTCCTGGGGTGTGTGACAGGGTCGTCTCCTCTCTCGGGGCACACCTTGTTCAGTTCAGAGGGGAGCACCTTGGTGCGTTGTCCACGCATGGCTGTGGCTGCTGAGTCTTGCCCCACTTGGCCTCCTCTCTCCTGTTTCTAGGCTGGGAGGTCCTGAACATCTCCATCCTGAGTGCAGCAGAAAAGAAGGAAGGATACCCATGGATTTTATACACTGGGACATCCTGTTCATCATTCCCTGCGTAGAGAGATGTCCGCAGGAAACCTGCCAGACTCTCACCACAGTCCTGACACAGGGGCCACATGGGTGGCGAACCACTGTCAGCCTCCAAAAATCTACTGTGCCCACCAGCACAGCTGCTTTGCTGCCTGCTCCACTGCTGGGCTGTCCACCACCCACAGCTCTCCTTGCTTGCTCCTGCTGCAGGCAGCTGGGATACTCCTGGCAGCAGGGAGAGGAGAAACCAGGTCTCTTGTGCGAGCAGCCCAAGTGTGGCTCTACGTGGAAAATCTGTACCAACATGCTGGCTGCAGAAACAAGGCTCTCATCTGTAAGAGGTTCTCATGACCCTGCAAGGTCCCCTGAGAGCCCTCCCAAATACTCACAGTCCGCATTGCTGGGTTCCTGAGTTGCTGAGACCAGAAAGCTGCTGGAGCAAGGATGGCAAAGCTCCTTGGCGTCTCTCAGGGGAATGGTGTCCTCTCAGGGGAGCTGGGATTAAGTCATGGAGGAAGCACAGCACTTGGGTAAGGTGCTTGGCAAAGCCATGGGGTCAGGAGGTCTGTGGTTAAGGAGGGGTTTGGCTGCTTTTCTGCAAGTCAAAGTCAAGGGTAGGGATCACACCCAAGGGTGAGGAGCCTTTCAGAGGGGACAAGGAGTGGTGGAGCACAACCATGGCTACCACTGGATTTCCTTCACGTCTGCATCCCCAGGCTCAGCGCTGCTGCAGGCAGGGAGCAGCCCGGAAACGCCTGCTTGTCACTCTCCCTGCCAGGCTGCCTCCAGGAATTATGCAGCCCCAGCGACCTGAAGAGACAGGTTTTGGCAGACTTGCTTTCTGCAGCAGCAAAACCCACTGCAGATCTAATTGCTGGAGAAAGAACAGTCTAAAGAAGGTCAAAAACACCCTTCATTCTTGCTCCTGGCCCCCCAGGGTGGGCAGGCTGGTGGGACATGGACACAAGCAGCTTACAAGCCCACACAGGAGGGGCTCTCACCCCCAGTCCTCCATGGGGACGCTCCCCAAAACCCTGTCCTTAAGGGCTCGGGAGCCAAGGGCAGAGCTTCTCCCGCAGCACACAGGAGGGGGGCTGCACCCCCAGGGGCTCTGTGCCCCACTGCCAGCAACACAGGGCCCCTCACCCGGGGGTCAGGTCACCTCTGGGCTGTGCAGGGTGGTCACAGCACCCATGGGGACAGGGACACAAAGCCCTGGTGCTGAATGCTGCTCATGACCCCTGCCCACCCCCTGCCCCTCGGCGAGGCTGCCCATACCTTCCCCACAGCATCCTCTGGCCGCATCCCCAGCTCCTCCACTCCCGGCCCGTCGCAGCAGTTCAGCCCTGCGTCCCTCTCCTCCAGCAGGTCATGTTGTCACTGGAGACACCAGCAATGAGTGGAGAACAGTGCAGAGCTGCCTGCAGAGAGGAGGAGATGGCAGAGTGGCTGGCAGCTTCCCAGCAAATCAGGCTGCAGAAGCGATCCCTGCTGAGAAGCTGCAGCGACCAGGGAAGCCCTGAATTTGCTCGAGCAGCTGAATCACACTTCCCACAGCGGCCATTTCCACCCGCAGCCTCCAAAGGCAGGGCTCTCCCTGCCCTCAGCTCCATGCAGGGCATGACGCTGGCCCTGAGTCCCTCTCAGCTGGTGTCACAAGCAGGGGGCTGCTCAGGGGATGGTGGGACCCCAGCGCAAGGGTGCTGCTGGAAAGGAACCAAGAGCTCTGATGGAAGATTGGGAACATTGCAGGCTTGGAGAGTGGGTTGAAAAATCCCTTCCCTAGTGTCCTGGTCTGAGCTGGGCCAGAGCTGG